CTCGTTTCTCTCTTCTCTCTTCTTCTCTGCGTTTCTCTCTTCTCTTCTTCTCTGTTTTCTCTCTTCTCTGTTTTCTTCTTTTTTTTTTCTTTGTTTGCTCCGACAATCTTCTCCCCGACGCTGCCGCAGTTGCCGCCGGAAGATAGAGAAAGAAAGAAGATGAATCACTCGTCGTCGGCGTGTGGAGGAGAAACACTCTTCTTTCTCAACAGCATGTTCCACCCTGTCGGTGTGTGGAGGAAGAAGATGAGGAACAAGCTGTTGAGAAAGAAGAAGAATCACTCGTCGGAGGAGGAGAATCAACGGAAATTGTTGATGAAAGTATTTTTTTTCCTTTTATTATGTTTTAGTGTTGGTTTTGTCATGTGCTCAAAAATTGTTTATGGAGTGACCAACAAACAATGATTGACAAATACCTTTGAATCGTTCTTGTTTTTTTTTTTTTTTATGGACATTAAAATGCTAATTTGTGTTTTTTTTTGTATGAATTATTTATTTTATTCTTGTTAACAATTGGTTGAAATTGTGTGGTGCGACGGTGTGGTAACGATGAGGAAGCATATTTAGGGTTTTTTTGTGGATCGGGCGGAGGACGGCGCGTGTAGAGAAATTCGCGCAGGCTGAAATCTTAATCGACTATGCACTGGTAGTCGATTAAGGTTGATCAACTCCAGTTTTTTTTTTTTTTTTTTTTTTCTGGATTTTTTCTTTATTGATTCCAATTGTATAAATCAATTATAATGTTCTTATATTTTTTTTGTTTTTGTAAAATAAAGTTGATTTTTTTTTTTTTTTTTGCAGTTTTGATTTGTTATTTTTAGTAGTAGACTCTTAATCGACTATGCTTCATCATAGTCGATTAATATACTGATATAGAAAAAAAATTAAAACACAAAAAAAGTTTAAAAAAAATATTAAAGAATTTCCTTAATCGACTATGCTTCATAGTCGATTTACCCTAATCGACTATGCTTCATAGTCGATTAATAAAACTGATACAGAAAAAGGAAAGAAAAAAAAGTCGCTGATGACCAGCGCGTGAGGCGGTGATGATGTGGCGGACAGGGACAAAACTGGAAATAATAATAGCTAAAAATCGATGCGGGCTTTTCTCAAATGGAAAGAAATATTTTGGGCATCTTTTCATTAAAAGAAGTAATGAGAGGTTTCCTCAAAGAGCCCATAAATTAAAACATATATGTGTTTATTCAGAATTTAAAGAAGAAAAAAAAAAGGTAAATTGAAATCCTTGATAGTTGGTGAAACCCTCGTGTTAACTCGACCATCCACACTATTAATTAAAGATTCAAATGGTGCTCAACTTGATCAACTGCAGTTCAAATTATAAAATAATGTCAATGTAAATCAAGAACACGAGTCTCTAACTCTCAGATTTTAGTCAAACATTTTCAGATCTCATGAATTAAAAAAAATAAACACAAAAATTATTATTGTCGATAAAAAAACTAGTCCATGTGATTACATGAGCCTTAGATCTCTTTCAATTTTTTTTTAATTAACAAGAGAACCTCACGGTCACACGCAATTCACCGGATATAATAATTCACAAATGCACAAGAGACGTAAAATATATTAGGCTAACAATATATGACGAGCTCGACTTAAATATATTGACATGATTTCAAATTCAATTTAAATAACAACTGTACTTTTTTACTCGATCAACTAGACTACCTTTTTTGACACTTTTAAATTATTGAGCGTACTGCAATAATCGTAAATGAGGCACTATCTATATCGAGTATTTTTTCATAAATTGTCGACTATCTTGACCTGAGTATTTCATAACATAAGATACCCTGAATAAGTAACTCATTTTTCTGTTGTCAATAAATCTTGAGATTGTTGGAGATAGTCCCCTTCACAAACTTGCATATAGAGTTAGTCCATTTTATTTTTTTCATTTCCAAAAACCTCATTAGCTTAAGGTTTCATTTGACATAACCAAAATATTGTATACCTTATTTTTACCCTTTAACTCAAATTAGGGTTATGGTTTAGTATATTTAGCCATCATGTGACTGGCAAGGGGCGGCAATACGGTGGAGCTCTGAATAGTTGACTAAATTTAGTTGATTTAATTGGGTTACGGAAAGTTCGATTAGTTGACTTGATATACTTAAGCTGATTTATTCGCTTGAATAACGGTGGCGGCAGTGGAGTGGCAGCGACAGCGACAGCGGTGGTTGTTGCTCCATGTATCTATTTTTTTAGGTGGACTTATGTCAAATCAAACTTGAGGGTATTTTTGGAATATGATTATTTAAGGGGTTTTTTTGGGAAAAAAATGGATGAACTGATATTTAGTGAAACTTAGTTTTATATATAAACTCATAAATGGATAAGAAAGAAAGGAACAATAATATATGGGAGCAATTTGAGTTAGTGAAGCTCATGCCATGTTGCATGTTTAAAGCAACTTCAAATGGAAAATTACCTTAATTATATTATGCTAGTAGTATTAGTAGTTGGCTTCACATTATAGAAATTTTACAATTTTGGGTTCTTTTTCTTTTCTATCACTTTACATTTATTAATTTCTTTTGTTAACTAATACTTTATGAAAAAACTTATATCAAAAGTTCCAAACTAGATTGCATAATTAGAGGTCAGAAAAAAACACTATTGATTTCGATTAAAGTTTCTGAGTTTAAATTTCGGTTGTGCTAAATTCCCTCATATATCATGTAAGTAGCTTTTGTCGACTGTTTTTCTCTACCTTTCGAGTCAACTGATTCAGATCACCTCAGTTAACTGAGTGGAGAAGGCTGTCGGATCAACCTTACACTGTAGCGCCCGAAAAGGTTAATGACTTTTTTAACTAACAAAATTATCAGAGTATATTCATAAAGAGGACAACCCGGTAAACTTTAACCAGAACAAAAAAAATTATATCGTCTCTACATCAAATAACAATAGATATCGGTGAATTTTCTCAAATAGCCACATTCTTCAATTCTATGATCTTATGCAATCATTAGTATTTGTTTTGTTGGCTCAAATTTATGTCATTTCCTTTCCCTTTCCATGGGAGGAGACACAATTTATGCATTAGTGTACACAAAATCCCAAACATTAAATCTTTATGACACTATTGTTTATTAAAGGTTGAGGGAAAACAATTATAGCCCATTATAGTGTCCATGTAATGATGAGGGAGGCCTACTTTGTGTTATTTGATTATTTTATATTATTTTGTATTTTCCAGTTAAACTTCTATAAATTAATATATTTAAAATTAACAAAATTCTGTTAATTTAGCAAAATATTAAATTATTGAAATAATTATTTAATACGTTTATCATGCGTTGGGGACGAGAAAAAAATATTATTTAAGCAAAATAGTAAAGTCAATATACAAAAGAATTATGATAATATTTTCAATATTCATACCTTTTTTGATTATTTGATAATTACTTAATGATACCATATATTTGGTTGGGTTACTTGATACCAAATTTCGACATAATTAAATACAATTTTTGCAAAATGAAACTTTTAAACACCATTTCTTACTCGGATTGGGTTCTCTTGTTATGTAATTAACAAAAAAAAAGGGTCAATGTTTGAAGGTATTTTTATTTTGTTGTCATTGTTTTCTGGAAATAAATTTCGGTTTGCGAATAATTTCAAATAAAAATTCAAAACCGTTGAAAATGTTATCTCTCCTCCAAACATGATTTGACGGCTACTACACTAAGAAAATATATCAACTAAAATTCAAACAAGAAATCATTTTATTTTCCAATATTTTGTTTTAAAACTATCTTTTTCCAACACCGTTAAACATAATTTGATCGTTAACATATTTTTTCTCTCCTCTCAATATCTATATATTATCTGCATCCTCAAATTCATTTTCCTCAAAATAAAATAAAATAAAATAAGTACGTTTTCAAACAATAGTTTGACTAAAAACGCATTGATTCCATTGTAGCTCAATGATTAACTAATACCGTTCTTTCTTCAATAGTTATGATTGAAAGCCTAAGGCATGATTACACTATTTTCACACCCCTAATTGATTTTGTACTTTGTCAATTTATTCCAATCATGAGAGAGAAAGTGGGATTAAAAAAAGGCAAAAAATAAAAATAAAATTGAATTAACACGAGAAAGGCCAAAAGCAAAATTATAGTACAAACCAAAAACCAGAAATTGACAACGACACTGTTGGGGCATTACACTACACGCGTCCAAATCGGCGCGTGAAGAAAAAGTCCATTTTTTTTTTCTTTTTTTTAATATTTGCCTCCTCTACTATTCATTTATTTAATTTTGAGCCCTCGATTCTTTCCGGCTATTCCACTCTACCCCTTTTGCTTCTTTCCATTGTTCTCCTCGTCATTAATTAAATTTACCAACAAAGAAAAGAATTAACCTACAATCGAAATAAAAAAATATATTATAAAGAAGAGAGAGAAACATCCAAAGTATAACAAAACAAAAGCAGATAAACAAGTGATCAAACTATGGAGTGTTTTTTGTTTTACTTCAATTTATTTTTTAGGGTAAATTACAAACACCCCCTGAGGTATGGTCAATTTACAAAAAAACCCCTCTTGTTTTGATAATTACATCTACCCCTCAATTATGATTTTTTCTTACACCTCCACCCTTATGGTGTAAAATTCAACATAATCATCTAGATTTCGTGGAATGTGCTCTGGTTTGTACTCGTTTTGTGTAAAAATACAGTTTCTGATGCACCACAGTCTGATATATACAAGCCAAAAAACACATATTATGATCATCTTGTTTCAAAATGTAGAGTTCGAATGGGATAAAACGGGAACAAAAGTGATAATATTCCATATAATCTCGAAAAATTTCACTAAATTTGAGGAGTTGAGGGGTGGTTGTAATTATCCAAACAAGAGGGGTTTTTCGTAATTTGACCATACCTCAAGGGGTTGGTTGTAATTTACCCTTTTTTATTAATAAATAATAAAATAATAAATAAATATAAACACAAACCAAATATATACATCGATTTACACACGCAAAAGAACACAGATATCAACAGAGAAAGTTCTGATCTTGTTCCACCCCCCCTCTCTCTGTCAAACACACATATACACATAGTTGTGTGTGTGTATATATTTTATATATATATATACGCAAACACAGAGAAGGAAGGCTTCCTTTGTTGCTCACTTTTTCCTTGATAATTCCAATTTCCATCCGACGAATCGAGATTTCGTTTCAAGGTTTACTTCTATGGAATCCAAATTGCTTTTCTTCTTCTTCTTCTTAAATCGAGTGTAGTTTCGATGGGGTTTTCTAATTTCTCAGAAAACTGATGGTTTTAGGGCTCATTTCGCTGTTCCCCAGGATGTTCCGCCGCCGCGCGCCCGCCGGAAATTCTCATCGTTCTCGTTCCGAAACAGTGAATAGAGTGTCCATTCGCGGCGAAATCCTGTGAAGAAATTGTTGGAAACTTGCCGGAATTTCAATACCCTCTGAAATACCCCAAAAAATTGGGGGTTTTTGATTTTCAATTTTAGCCTCAATTTTGATTTTTTTTGTCGATCGAACATGGGGAATAAATTGGGGAGGCGGAGGCAGGTGGTGGATGAGAAGTACACTAGGCCTCAAGGGTTGTACCAACACAAGGATGTGGATCAGAAGAAGCTGAGGAAGCTTATTCTCGACTCGAAACTCGCTCCTTGTTTCCCCGGCGACGATGACTGTAGCTGTGACCTTGAGGAGTGTCCCATATGCTTCTTGGTTTGTACCCTTTATCATTTCTTAATTATTATTTATTTCGGTACTATTTATGCCCTGCAAATTCAATGAGCTTACTATTTTTGCATCGAAACATAATGTTCATAAACAACCCTAGAAGTCGAAGATGTTTTCTTCGTTGAATTTGGTGATAATTGAGCAATTAGTGAAGTACAGATTTGATTCGACTTTGCGTGATTTGATTCTTCAGTTTATTCGTCGATTTTTTTTTTCTGGAACTAGAAATTTGGTAGGAAAATTGATGACCGGGAATCGGTGGTGTAGATATACATTATACATGCGTCCTTCTCTTTTTTCACGTGACGTAATATTTATCCTTTCTTCGGTTTGGATTTTTTCAGTACTATCCAAGTCTCAATCGGTCGAGATGTTGCATGAAAGGCATTTGTACTGGTATAGAGTTTGCCCCTTTAATTCTTTCTTTTTTTCTCATTAATGTTTTGCCGTGTTTTAAATAACGAGTACTCATTGTTTTTGTTTTTTTGTGGTTTAGAGTGTTTTTTGCAGATGAAGACTCCCAATTCTACTCGGCCTACACAGTATCCTTTATTTATATTTTTATTTTGCTTCGGTCATATGATTTTGTCTGTGTATTTATGACGTGTTGGTGTAATTGCTATAATATGTTTTCACCTTAACTTTAAAAGATGTCCTTTCTGCAAAACCTCTAATTACGCCGTGGAGTATCGAGGTGGCAAGACAAAGGAAGAGAAAGGCTTGGAGCAACTTGTGAGGATTGATTTACTGTTAATTACGTAAAATATACGAATTTCTTCTTTTTAGAAATATTGTAGAAATATACTATTTTTTTTCTCTTTTTAGGAGGAACAACGTGTTATAGAAGCGAAAATAAGGATGAGGCAACAGGAGCTACAAGACGAAGAGGCAAGGATGATTAAACAAAGAGAAATAAGTTCTTCTAGCAGTATGAGAGGGCCCACTGAGGCAGACTATTGCTCGACTATAGGTAATAACTAATTCTATGTTAATTAATAGCTATTTACTATATTTAATTTCTTCATATTAAAATCAATGTCTTTTCTATACACAGCACCATCTTTTGCTTCTACTATTGAAAGTGAAGAAATTGTTGCCTCACACGAGTCCACGGCTAATTCAGTTGTTCGACCACCTCTACGCCAAAGGCAAAATAGGTAAAAACACGATCTTAATTTACTTAGAACCTATTACTATTAATTTATAGTCACAAAAATCTTACATCTGATTGGAGTTTCTGGGACCTTTATCTATTGATCAATAGTTTACATTGCAAATTACAATACACCTATCACACTCAAGATTCATTGCAATAAATAGGGTATTTTTTTTCTTCCTTTTAATCATACATTTTTTTGATTTATCAGAAAATAAGGATTCACGGTTTAATCAGGCAGAGTGACTGACTTGCATGGTTTACGTTTGTAATTTCCTGTGTTGGTTAAACCTAAATTCTAGGGTTGGAAAATAGTTTTGACTGTAATTAAGTGAAATCATTTTTGTTTCTTTCTGTGTGGTGTAGGGACTTGTTGCTAATGAGCTAGAGTTAAAATGGCCATTTAATGACTTTTTTTTTTTATGATTTTGGCCGTTATAACGTAAGAAAAGTTCTGAGTCATCTGACATGCTAAGTATATTAATGAAAAAAAAAATGGCTAATTGCTTTTTGATGGTAATTTTTAATACTACCTCCATTCTATATTATCGGTCGCTTTAGATTTTTTTTTTTCATATTAGCTGTCACTTTAAAGTTCCAGTAATGCATTTATATTTACTATTTTACCCTTATTAATCCAACTCTACTAAGCGTTAGCTGTCTCTTATCACCTCATTAAAAGGTAAAGGTTATTTTTGTCTTTTTCATGAGTCTTTCCTAAAATTCAACCATATTTAATAACGTTTTTAATATATGTGTAAGACCGTTTATTATGGAACGGAGGGAATATGTTATAGCTGTTATGCTTTGTGATCAACATAAATTTAGAGGTGTTGCACATATTTTTTTTAATTAAAGCAGAATATGCAAAGCAATCAACTGTACATCAATTAATTTGTGATTCAATCTGCAATCTTCAGTAAAACTATTCAATTATATTTTCCTATACATGTATAGGTATTTTTTGCTTTGTTCTCAAGTCTCTAGGTAAATATCAAAGACAAACGAGCGACTTGTTTCGAAAATACTTTGCTAAAATCTGTTAACGGTTTCGATTCCCCCTTTCAGAATTAGCATATAGGGAGGGGATTCTGATTAGAGTAGTGATTGACGAATTTATTAAGGCTTCGTTTGGTTTATAAGATATGCAATTTGTTCGTGGAGTAATTCTGATGATTTGATGACACTGTTGAACTTTTGAGTTCCGTCCGACGTTTTAATCTTGTCACGTTATCTAGAATAGGATAATTAATTCACTGATTATTTGAACGTTATTACGAAATATGTAGAGGAGGATAAGCGGTTCTGAAACAGGCTAAGAGAGGGCTTGAAAAAATTAATAATTAACTTTGTTAACATAGAATTTAATCTTGTCCATTTTCTTGTCACATTGGTAAGCAATTATTAACATTGTGCCATCTGTGAAAATAAAATACTGATAATATTTTGAGGGCCTGAACTGAATTAGTGGGAGAGAGACTACATGTTATCTTTCTAATTGGCCTTGCTCCTTTCTCTCTTATTCATTTTCAATTTTTGGCATGGGTCGAACTGTTTAAAGGAACCTGTTGCGTTAAAAATATTGACTAGGCTGAAATGTTTCCCACTTGTATCAATCAAACACACGAGTTTGTCACTGCAGATGTACACATACTTATGTAACACCAAGGAAATTTTCTTTTCGACTAATATAAATGCGATAAATATTGTATTAATGTAAAATTCTAAAATTCTTTATATGTTTCGTATGTTCTGCTTCTGAACACAGGGAAGACGAGTTTGACCTTGATCTCGAGGACATAATGGTTATGGAAGCCATATGGCTGTCTATTCAGGGACATATATATATATATATATATATATATATATATATATATATATATATATATATATATATATATATATATATATATATATATACTTACTTTGAATCTTTTCAGCAGCTAGTCCACTTACTATTTATAAATGTGGCTGATTCTGGATATCGCAAATAATATTAAATGTTGGTAATCTGACCATTTAATATCTAAAAAATACGACTTGTTAATTCTATTGTGTCGATTCCTATAAATAGGAAGATGGCAGGCGGCACGATCCACCGTACTGTGGTGCAGCTCAACCAGAAGAATACATTGCAGAAGATCGCAACTCCTTATCACTGGTCATGGCGGCCCCACAACAAGCCGCTAGCTCATCGCCCTCATCTCCTTCCGGTGGGCTTGCATGCGCAATAGCAGCCCTCGCCGAACGTCAACAGATGACCGGAGAGACCTCCAGTAACTACGATGGGGACCACCACACGTCAACGTATCCCAATTTGAACGAGCAACAACAACAACAACAACAACAATCCGTCGACTATTATCCCGACCGTCGGTTGGCTATGATGAACAACGGTGATGATGATGGAGAATGGGTAGACGATCACAGATCTGAGTTCGAGTTTGCCCACCAAGTAGTAGGAACTGCTAGCGGCAGCTATGGCGGCGGTTCCGATGAATTTGGTGCGATACACCACCACCAAGATGAAAATCAGTGCAGCAGCCCTTCACCTGTCACCGGAGTGGTGGGCCCCATTATACCGGAGAGCTTCGAGGAGCAGATGATGCTAGCCATGGCTGTTTCCTTAGCTGAGGCTCGGGCTAGCTACTAGCTCTTCAGATGAGGTACAGAAAAAAAAAAATAATAAAACAAAATAGCTGCCGACAAAATACCGAATTATAGTGGATTCAAAAAGATGATGGTGAATACAATTTTCTTTAACTTGTTAGGTACCATTGAATCTTGACGGTTTGTCAAGACTTTGAATTCTCCGATGAGGAACTACGCGTTTGATCTTAGTAGAGGGCCCTCGATAGGGTCATGAAAGAATCTGTAACATCTACCGTGTGGGGCGTTTTTTTTCTAATCAAGAATCGGTTTGAGATGTAGATGCCGGAAAGAGCGGGGTTATTTAAGGATGGAAAATGCTTATCAGGTAAAAGTACTACAAGAGAATGTAATGTACATACATATATGTATACATATATATTGTGACTTGATTTTCTTGACTCCCTTTGGTAAATGAGCAAAAATCTACTTCCTACATCTGAATGCCCCATTTTCTGTTCTTTCTTGCATCATAGTGATTTGATTGGTTCTGTGTTGAATATAGATTTGTAAGATATATCTGACGTCAGTGCTTTATTTATTTATGTAATTACTGGGCTCTGTTTCTCTCTTGGTTGGTTTTCTCAAGATCCTCAAAAGTTGATTTTTTTTTTCTTTTAAGCACTTCAATTGTTATGTAATTTTAAATACATTTTATTAAATGGTAATTTAAATCAATTAATATTTAACAAATATAATTAAAATAATTAACAAATAATTGAATTAAAAAAAAATTCTAAACTTATCATCCCGCGCTCCATGGCAGGAACTCCAACTACCGTTGCCAGCTACTCCGGACGAAGACTCTACTTCACCGGAGAACACGAAGGACGCCATGCTCATCAACTGGCGACCATATAAAGAAAAAAAAAAAGGAAAAGTATTCCATTGAAAAAACAATGAAAACACAATCCAAATCCATCTCAATTCGTCCCAAAAATAAAATTACTAATAAAGATAGAATATTAAATAGTTTGAATATGTGAATTTTTTGTGTGTGTGATTTTTATTAAAAATGGGAGAGAGAATAAAGATAGGGAGGAGAAAAATTAAGACAAGTTTTTAATTATGTGCAGAATTTGATAAATTTAGTTGTTTTTTTGTCGGTCCATTTTGCTCTCGAAAGGTATTGGTCGAAGATCATCATAGAGGGCGATTCTTCTGTGGTTACCACAACCATAAAATGGAAACTTCTGACTCTTGAGCGGGATCTGAAAATATCATAATGAATATGAAACGTATTAGTAAAGATTTTGAAGAATTTAAAGTCCAACATATACTTCGAGAAGGGAACCGGGTGGCTCATGAAGTAATATCTCTGTCAAAGCAAGGCCACTGTCATTTGTTCGTTCTTCCTCCACTAATACATTAGGTAATCTCTCTTGAAATGTGTTAGAGAATGAAAATTAATTTTGTTTCTCTAAAAAAAAAAAAAAAAAAGAAAATTGGCAAAGGCCCAATCATCTAATTGTTTGGGCTATGTATCCATTCCCAGTTATAAGCGGATTTCTTTCTCGATATTGCCAACATTTATTTATATTATGCATTTATTGTGCTAAAAATGGCATTAAATAATTGAAAATAGAGTTTTGGAAAAAATCATTTGGTAAAAGAAATTTATCTGGAGGATTAATTTCACTTGGACCCCTCTAGATAGTGAAATTATAATGGCTACTGACCTGCTCTTTTAGATGAAAGATTACTCGGACCATCCCTCTTACATGGTTCCGTTTAAACTATTACATCTTCGGTCGGATTTTGAATGGAAATTGATGCAGTTATAAAGCTAAATAAACTTCTCGTTTGACGTTTTTTGGTCGATGTTGACCATTCTAACCAAATGTACAAATTGTTCGGTTGTAAACGAGTCGACTTATATCAATGAATCGGTTAATGGATAATAATTAACTTAATAAAGCTTCAACATCACCGAGATTTGCATATTGCGATTAGAGCGAAAGATACATTCGTGAGGGAGATCATAAATATTAACTTTAAAGAATAACTCTTTTTTTTTTCTGGAATGTGTCAGTGACTCATATCATCAGCACACATGAAAACCTAATATATATGTAAAAAAAAAAAAAAAAAAAAAACACTCCGAGGAAATTGGCTAGATACTCCTTATTCTATACTTATATAGGTGGAGACCCTAGTTAGATGAATCTAGACTTATGCCCTTTGACCAAAAACTTCTACCTTAATCTCACCTTGAAACAGTGGTACACAGACATAGAGACTCTCAAGTAACAAGAAACCAAATCTCATATATCACTTCGTCTCGTTCAACAATCACGTCCCCTCTTCCACTAATTTCACGTCTCTGTTTCCATATATCTAATCTCTCATCTCTCTTTACCCTCTCTATCTCGTGTCTCTCCCTCTCTCGCGTCTCTTTCTTCCATTTCGATATTTGTTTTCTTTCCGATCAATATCTTTCCAATTTTCTTTTCTTTCCTTTCGAATCATGCCATAGATAGGACCTTCAACAAATCCTACCCAAATATTTCCGTTTAATGTTTGGTTGTGGGACCTATTTGCTTGTTCTTTGTTCGGTATTTGGATACCTTGTTTGTTGTTTGAGTTTGCAATTTCAACTTCTTCAGCCTACACTTTCCACTTCTCCCAATTGGTCCAAACACGCTTGAGTATCGTTAAGCAATATTCCTATAACTATTTTTTTTACCATGGACTACATATGATTTTTTGATTTTTTTTTTAATTCTCATAAAACCAATTTATTTCCTTCATAGTTTTGAATCATCAAAATTAGTTATAAATTTGAGTTTGTTGATGCTATAAGTTTGTTTATGTTATAAACTTATTACTTTTTTGTTTTTCATTTTTGTTGTTTTTATTTTCTTTTAGAATGCATGTCAAATTTTTATGTGTGTTGTTGATTAGATGATGCTGATTTTTTTTCTTTAATTTGTTGTTTGAATTTAGTGAAGTTATAGGTAGTTTGTTGTTTGCAATTCAATAATGTAAATTTTAATCTTTTTAGTTTGCTATTTACGTTTCAAGGAGTCATAGGAGGTGGTGGGGCGGCTGCGGCGGTGGTGGATTTTATAGAGTCTGAGTTTGTACAATAAATATTTTTTTTCTTTTACGTATCAATTTTGTTTTTTAGTTAAAATTTGAAAAAGATAGGTTTAGAGGAATTGGATTTGGTAGAGAGATTTTTGGGATTTGATTTGATTAAGGGTATTTTTGCTAGAATAAATATAATTAATTTAGTAAAATATAAAGATTTGGACTTGGATCTATTCACATTAATTATAGGGCGAAGTTCACTTTGCACCCCTGAATTATAACACACCCCTTAATTACGTAACGTGCCAAATACTGCCTATATTTTTTTGGTCAAACTTACAAATATGTAAATAATGTACATATAGAACTTAGAAATGTCACTTCAGGTGGTAACGCTTCTTCGTCCTCCTCTACAAGACGAGATGAATCATGACACTTATGTAATAGTCGAACTTTCATATATGTTACTCAATAGTTTTGCTTTATTTGTATTAAAGCGTCCTAACATATTTTGGATGCAATTCGATTGATGGACCAATCTAATTGAAATGATAAATTTCAAGTCGGTAGAGACAACAAACTAATCTTCTACAGATCTTTGATCTTGAACTCAAATTTCAAGAATTGAGGTTTTTGCTTGACTTTTTGATGATTCACAATGGAGTTCGTGTAATAGGAACAATTAAAATCAATTATTGTTCACATATTCTCCATGAGCAAATGTTCACTTACGCGATTATCCTATTTTTTTTCGAAATATTTCAAGCCATAAAGTGATAGTCACACTCTAACCGAGATCATTTTTCGTGGTCTGGAACTGCCTTAGGAAATCGAAGTTATTTCGGAACTTTTATATAAATACTTGTATCTGGATATTCAAGAAGATACGTTGTGACCACATCTATAAACTACATAGTCAATTTCTTAGATATAACTGAACTGACTAAATATGTTAATGTAACAACATTCATCACATGAGACTATCTCTCTTTAAAGTCAATTATGGTCACAGAGGAAATCATTGTGCTATGAGATGAGTGTTTTAGTTCATAATCTCATTTCTTTTCTTGTGCTATTAGATGAGTTTTCCAACTCTCAATCTCATTTCTTTTCTTGTGCTATGAGAGCCTTCTAGCTCCTAATCTCATTTATATTCTTGATTTCTTGTGTTATGAGATGAAACAGATACCCCAGCATCGCACCTTG